GGACTTTGGTACTTGGAACCAACAGTCTTAGGTGCACACCAAGAGCTCCAAAAGTGCTGGAGCACCCACAGGGAAAAAAAATAGTGGGTGCTCAGCTACTTTCCCTCTCCCCCAGAGCCTCCTGCCCCCTGGCAGGCCCAGCCCATCAGTGCCACCCCCTCCCGCCCCCCCAGTGCCTCCCGCCCGCCACAATCAGCTGGAACTGCAGAGGGGTGGGGGGAGGGGCGGCAAGAAGCAGTGGGGGGCATACTCAGAGGATGGGGCAGAACAATGGTGGGAAGAGATGGGGCAGGGCCTTGGGGGAAAGGGTGGAGTGGGGGCAGGGCCTGGGGTGGAGCAGGAGTCAAACACCCCCAGGGAAAGGGGAAAGTTGGTGCCTCTGAACAGCTAGACATGGTGCATGCTCAGAAGATCTCAAGAGGTGAGGAATAATGGGGACAAGCAGGATCTACACTTGCTTACATCGTGCACAGTGCTGGGCTGGGGAGTTTGATTCCATGGCCTTGCTCAGGTGTATGCTAAAAGCCAGGTGTATGCATTTGTGGGAGGAAGGTTCAATACATGGGCCTTCCTTGGATCAGGATTAGGGGATTTTTGAGGGGTGGAGGGGAGGGCCTGGTTAGACTTGCTCAGGTGCATGCTCAGGAACAAGCAAAATACGGGGTTCAGCACCTGGACCTGGAGGGTCTTGCTCAGGAACATGCTCAAGGCAAGGGGCATCTGGACCCAGTGGGCTGGGGGTGAATACCTGGACCTGGTCGGGCTTGCTCAGATGCACACTCAGGGCTGGGGGTAGAGAATATGAAGGGTTTAGTACACAGGCTCAGATACGGGATCAGAGTAGGGAAGGTTTGGTACTTGGACCCCGTGAGCCAGGGATGTGTTGTTCAGGTGCTGGGGGAGGGATAAAAGGGGTTAGGTATCCAGACCAGCTGGGCTGAGAGAGAGTCAGTACCTGAAACAGCCCAGTCTTGCTCAGAACTGGGAGTGGGGAATATGAGGGGTTCGATACCTGGTCCCAGCAGGCCAAGGGAGGTGGGTCATGCCCAGGTGCACGCTGAGGGGAGGGTCAGTACCCGGAGGCGCTGGGGCACGCCCAGGGCAGGGTCGGGTCGGGTCGGTCCCCGGACCCGCTGGGCTAGGCCCAAGGCAGGGGAGGATTGTACCCAGACCACTGGGCCGGGGAGGGTCAGTACCTGGACCCGGTGGGCCTTGCTCAGGTGCATGCTCAGGGCCGGGCTGTTGGGCAGGACCTTGCCGCAGCCGGGCACCGTGCAGAGAATGTTGGTCCGCACGGCCCGGGACAGCTCCGTCACCGACGGCCGCACGAGCTCCCGGGGGGCAGGGCGCTCCGCCTCAGGGGCCGAAGCCCGGGGCCACCCCGGCCCCTCTCCGCACCGTCCGGGCTCTGCTGCCGCAGCACCTGGCGCCGCCATGTTGTTTTCGGCCGCTTACAAACAAACCGGCCTAGCAGCAGCAGCACTTCCGGGGGCGGGGCCGCGACGGAGGCAGCTCATCATGTCATCTTGTAACTTAAATATTCATAAGAGACGTGACGGGGCTCGGCGCCGGCCACACCCCTTGGCACGGGCTCCGCCCATAGATACGCCTCCACTCTGCCCGGCATCGTTCAATCTTCAGTTTTCCTTCTGGCCCGGGTCGCCTCGTCCCCGAATAACCGTCACTCTCTTCTCACCGGGGGGTGCGGGCTCTGGGATAGGGCTGGGACCCAGGGGCTCGGATCGGAGGGCAGGAGGGGGATTAGGGTTGGGGCAGGCTCCAGCTCTCCCATTCTGTCTTTCTTGGCTCTTTACAGACTCAGGAAGACAACACTCCATTTCAAATCTATCTCAACAGCCATCACCGTGAGAAACTCAAATTAAAAAGCTCTTGAAATTGAGATTGTGAATGCTATTCTAGGGCAAAGGGTGAATGTCCTGACAAATTACACAGCACTGAGACAAATGGCAGGATTTAAACCACCCTTCAACTTTAAGACAATCTATAATTTGTCTCCCACTACATCCCCACCCTCACTTCCTAAACCTTCATTTTCTCTCACTGAGATCACCATTCACATCTCATTGCTTCTTATCTCCTATGCACCAGTCTGGGTTGATTAAACTACCCTGTTTCCCCGAAAATAAGACAGTGTCTTATATTAATTTTTGCTCCCAAAGATGCGCTAGGTCT